CCTTATATGTCCCTATATGTATGCAGTCTATATATGTATATAGCATTCAAGGCTACTTTATCTTCTCTACCAAATTTCGGTTCAATCTATCATATCTCTGATTTGTCCATAGCATAATTCAAATTCGGGTCGCACATTTCTTTCGGCACAAACTTTGTAGAGACAGTCACCCAACCTAACAAACGCCCTCCTGCCCTGATTTAGGCCAATATCTAAACAAAAACAAAAACAAACAAAAAACGAACAAATACCTAACCTGACAATACAATACATTTTTTTTGTAAATTTAACCAAGCACATTTGATGAAATAAACCAAATATTAAGCGAAACGAATTTTGTAATTACCAAAATATTTTAGATTTAATGCGCTGCTTTGCTCGACACGTTTACGGCATCTGGAATTACTGGAATGTGTGGCACATAAATGGAGAAGAGCTCTTCGTAAAATGTTCTGTGCAGCGAGGGCTGCCAAATGAGTTTATGTATCAAATATGTTCGCAATAAATCAAATTATATTAAGACAATAAATTCAAGCTTTTTCTTTGATTAAGCGCGTACAAGCTCGTTTACGCAAGCTCATTTAAGCTCACTGTGAAAAGTTTCGCGGGATGTTTATGGGTTTATATATGCAACTACTTTAAAGTTTTGGTAATTGAGCTTTGTTCTTATTAAAGCTCTGCTGGCTTGGTATTTGATTCTGTAATCTCGAAAGGCACATAACTTTTGTGTGGTATGAGCTTTCATATTAGCGGCTAAAAGTTCCCATACTTAGGCTTCTACAGTCAAGTCTTATCGCCGATTTGATTGCTATAAGCAATAAGGAAAGGCAGACAGAGAGAGATGGAGCTAATTTGACTCATCTGTTGGTCTCAATAGAGAACAAATACATTCTTATGTATATACTTGATGGCGTCTTTCAGGGCAAGACGACAACTTCTTCTGAAGTGAAAGTTTTTCAATTTTCATTAACAAAGGAGCTTGAGATGTTTACTTCGAATCGAAGTAAGTAAATCGCAACAAACTGTGCGTCAGTTCTCATAAATTGTTTACTATATTCACTATATATATATTATATATTTCCTATTATCAAATATTTTGAACAATTGAAGACAATCACAAACCGTGTAAAATGCACACAATCAACAGCAAAACCCTCACGGCCGAGGAACTGGCCGATTTACACAAATGGCTACAGCAGTACGATATAAATACATCACGATTGCGACGCGAATTCTCAGATGTTTTGCCCTTGGCGGAGATGATGAAACGGGATCATCCACGTTTGGTTGATTTAAACAACTTTCCGAAGCGCAGCAGCGTCCAGTTGAAGGTGGCCAATTGGGAGACGTTCAACTATAAGATATTGAACAAATTCAATTTGACATTGGGTCGTGAATTTATCGAGCTTCTCTCGACGGGCGCCCCTGGGGCTGCCGAGGTGCTACTGCATGAGATCATGAGACTGAAGAAGCGTCAACGTGTGGTGGAGACAAGGAATGCGATACTCGCCCAGGAGCAGATCTGGGAGGAGAACGACGAGGTGAAGACGGTGGTGGTCAACAAACAGGTGGGCGACGGCATCGTTCAGGTGCCCCAGAAGATGATTCTCTATTCGCTCTATGAGAAAATGGCACGCGACAATCAGGCTAAGGATCTGATCATTGAAGCCAACCAGAAGCGCCTCGCCCACATGGAGAATATCATCAAGGTGAAGACCGAGCGCATCGACGAGCTGCTCATGCAAATGGGCAAGGTGCCCAACAAGCTATGCGGCAACAGTCCACGGCTGCAGTGCTCCAGCATCCCACGATTGCCATCCACATCAATGATCAGCTATGAGGCTCTGGGTGCTATACGTAAGCGACATCCAAATACGCCAGCCTCTTCCGATTAGAAACACACATACACACACGCGATGAGGGTGCGGGATGGCGAGAGGGCGGGCAGCAAGATAGAAGGGAGGGGAATGCGAATGCGAATGCGAATGGGGAAGAGAATGAGAAAGGAGAAGGCGAAAAGAAAAACATCAAGAAAACGGAAAAAAAAGTGAGTTAGAAAATACTGAGATTGTTCAGATAAATTAATGGATCGATGAGAAAATTAAAGGTAAACTACGACATACAAGAGAGGAATACAAGGAGGGTCGGCAAGGAAGAGAGAGGAGGACAAAATTAGAGAGAAAGTCAGCATGGCTATTGTCAAGATCTCACATCATCACCACACAAATATACAAACACACACACACACACTTAGATGCAGGCATATATTTTTGTTAGCGTAGTTCGATCCAACTGCATTCGCATGTTTAGTTTTTCATAAAATAGTATTCCAATGAAAATTTTTTGATATTTTTGGACATCATCCATACATCCAGTATTTCGCTTATACGAACTAACCAAATTTAAACACAACATATTGAAATTGTAGTCGAAAACGATTAAATGTGTTACAAATTTTAATAAACAAAAACGGTTTTATTACTATGTGGGAAACTAAAAGTTAAATCCAGGAACCCTATGAAAGGCCTGATTCGGGAATTGCTCCTGGCATTCGCAAAATGAATATTTGTTTTAAGACAATGATACGCTACGCATGGAGCTAAAGAAAATATTGTAGTAGAAGCTAGACTCGAGTGTTTCACTTCCAATTATACCGCTAAAGGTGAATTTTTAATATTTTTCATTAATGAGACGACTTTCACATGTTTTTCTGTTAATATGCATCGTATTTGATTTTAACCAACAATTAGATTTCATTTCCACTAGTTCCCTATAGAATGATCTCATTTAACAAGCCCTGTCTTTTTATATATTCTACATGATCCTCAATATTTCATTTTGCAGTACTTTAATGTTTCAATTCCAATCTTTCCACTTAATATAATTGCAGAGTATGACATGTGGTGTCATTTTAATGCATGTATTGTGTTTAATGAGTATTTTAACAAGCTTTGTTTCACTTCCGCTCGTTCCACTCGATCATCTAGTAATTAGTGACCATAGAACGACATGTGGAGTCATTTCATTGCAAGTGTATGAGCATATAAACAAACTTTGTTTCACTTCCGCTCGTTCCACTCGATCATCTAGTATTTAGCTTCCATTTAAAAAAAACATGGTTTCACTTCCGCGACATTCCACGCAACAGTGTTTCCACTTCCCATCCGTTATCATATGAGAAAATGTCTTGATATCTATGCGTACCTGGACTTTAATAATAGACGTTTCTTGATCGCTGGCCGAATAGAAGATGCCCTCTCCTGGCTGCTATTGCTGCTGTTGTTGCCGTTGCTCTGGCGACTCCATTGCCAGCTGCTGTTGCTGACAGTCAGGCTCTGGGCTAGACAGAGCAAGGCGCTGCCGCTGCCCGTGCGATACATATTATAGATATATATTTGTTTTCGCTCCTCGGGGGGTTTGTTTACGAGTAGCTGGCATCTATCTCTGTGCGTCAAATTTGCAGCTTGATGGCTTAATTAAATTAAGTTTTATGGACTTGCTGTGGGCGTGTGTGTTGTCCGTCTGCCCGACTAAATATATATACATATATATATATACGTGTGTGTGTAAATGAGCGTTAAACGCTTTGATAAGCATTAAAATACACAGAGACAAACACAATTTAGCGCGTCAGGTCAGCCGCATGCCTGCCCAGAATGTGTCTTCAATTACATGTGCGAATTTAATACCAACGACCGCCGTTACAAGCAACTATATATATCTGTAGATATATATATCTATATATGTGTCTACATATTCGTATTATTGGTGTCTTTGATTGACTTCGTTTTCGCTTAGCACCGTACAAGTAGAGGACGCTGACTGCGTGCCCAAATGTGTCGACGGCGCAATTTTATACGAGCAGCCCGTTTGGGTCAGTGCGAGGGTTGCAGCAGCTAACTAACTAATGCATGACTCATAGACTTGGCTAAAGGCGGCTTAAAGTGGCTTACACACTCAACCCGAGCCGCTTAGCTTGGGTACTTTGGCCGCCCATCTGGCCGAATCGCCTTTTGAACCGGCTCAACCGTGAACTGTGAAGCAAGGCTATGCGAGAGATATGATAGCTCTATGGCCTCCCATCAGTCCCAAGCATATTTGCATTGGCTCCGACAGCTGCAAGATAGTTCGCTCGATTAAGTATTTATTTTAGTTAGCTATTACCTAAATATTTTTGGTTTCTTTACTTACTTTCAATAGCATGTAACAAGTCACGACGGAACCTGTTCATATAATACGAATATAACTGAATATAACTATTATATAAAATAGTTCACATTACCTATCACTTCTAGAAGACATTAGAACTATCTCTGAACTGGTTCAGAATAGAAATTTTAAACATGTAAAAAGGCTTCCCTGAATACTTTGCTTAGTTATCTTAAAGCTAAAGAATATCAAAATAAATTATATATATTATGTTCTTTCGAATCGGTTCACAAGACGAATTCGCGAATTATAAATGAACCAGTGAATCGATATGAGCTTGAGCAAAGTGCTCATTTATTGTGCAGCACTCAATTCGAGGGTCTGTTAGGGCGTTGCCACGCCCCATGTGACACCCGACTCAATTGACACAGCCTTGCGCTTTCTCACGGCCCTGTCCCTGAATTTTTGTTTTGTTTTGCGCGAATTGCATTTTTGAAATTTAAATTTTGTGTGGCAAGTTAAGCAAAAGACAATTGAATACGAGAGCAAGTATCGATTTACAGAGTCCGGCTAAAGAGTCGGTATAGACCAACTAAAGGGCTTATGTACATACCGAGTTCACTGAAAGCAAATAGATAGAAAATACCCTAGAAAAAAAAAAATGCAATGAATAGTGAATTGCCATAGACCAATAAAACCCATTTATAGAGGAATCAATCATCTATTATGAAAATTTAATCACCATTCAGTCAACAAGATATAATGCATGGTGAATCATCAATAATCCGTTCTCATAAGTCATCAATCATCTGTCAACAACCATAGATAACTATCGTCCATCATGCATCATTTATCAATCAATCAATCTGTTATCAATTATCAACTATCAATTATAGCTCAAATAGTGAACTATCAGTCATCAATCATTAGCTATCACTTATCCATCAATCAGCAATCTGAATTCTATAGTCGTCAATCATCAATTATCAAACAACTGTCAGTCCCCATCAATCGTCAATCAGTCAATACGAATTTATTTATCTTTGTTTCTCTTTAACTCTTTGCATGTATCGATAAAAATCGATATTTTTATAACCGTCTTCCAACCGCATTGCATCTTCTGCTTTAGGCAGGGTATCTGCTAGTGGGTACTAGGGTATCTACTAGTCTGCGCTAAACTTTTGCTTGCCTCCTCTGGTTGCACTTTGCGCATGTTTCAACCCTTTGAAGCATTGAATTCAATTGCAATTGTCAAGAGCCTGGCAAGGGCAAAGTTTATTAACCCATGGTGTGTGCTCTTGGGTGTACGGGGGTGGCGGAGGGGGGCATAGCAAAGCTGCAACGAATGCAATGCAAATTGCATTAGAAAGGCAACCCTGCCACGGGCCCCAACCCCAGCCCCTACACATGAGCAACAACCCCAGCTAAAAGCGAGCATAAAAATTTCATGACACGCCGCAATAAGATTTTAATAGAGCCGGCCTACGGACCGAAGAGTTTTGGGGCAGACAAATGTTGGCACGCAACTAATTAAATGGCGACAATGTTGCCGGAGGCAATGAACTCCACCCGCCCGCCGCCAGCCTCTGTCATTCCCCCTTCCCCTTTCCGCCGCTGTTCCATTGTGCCGGCATAAAGTGGAACAATTTTACGCGCGCAATTTTTGATTCCAACGGAAATTCTGATAACAAATTAACGCGTCTTCTTTGGCCCCCGCCCCGAGCCACAAGTCTCTCGCACAACTTTGATTCATTACGCAATTTAGTGTTGATAGTTAAAAGTTAACTTCCGCTTACAACAGCTGCCACGCCTCACGGCCCGCACGAGCCAATTGACAAACAGTTTTTTTTCGGAGAAATTTCAACATTTACAAAATGCAAAAAGAAAATAAAAGAAAAATGTTCAAACGAATTTCGTGTTAATGGAAATGTATGCCAAAATTTTTCTTTGACGTGGCTCGTAAATATTGTGGGGAAAATCTGTTGAAAATTCTATTTACTAACACAAACAACAGCAACGGCAACGAGAACCAATCGAATCCCGGAAGATTCAGAAACAACATTTTTGAAAGCCCGAAGAAATAAGTGTGGCTGAAAAGCTATAGACGAAGTTGAAATTCCCTAGTTTTATCTTGATTGCAATGATATGATAGTATTATATGTTGACTTGGGAAATTCTTAACAGATTTTCTCAGATTTAGCTATATTTCATATATGTCTCAGAACTTCAGTTTAGATTTATACAACCATCTAATTTGATAATCCGTAAGCCATCTATATAATATATTCCACTTATGTGCTGTTTCATGTTTCAGCATTAGCGAATCTATTTCATAGAAAATCAAAGAGTTCTGGTTTTCCCTAATTGATTTATGGCAAATAGATTTTTGTATATCTATGCATATACCTGAATCTGTATGAATATAATTTATATTGTTGTTTGTATTGCTTATACATCAGCCAATATCGCTTATCAGTTTGATGGCTATAAAAACAAAGCAAATAGCAAAGTCAGCATGACCAAGTAGCAGACAAACAAATACCCTGTCAACAGTTATCAAAGGATAAATTAAAGAAGATTTCAATTCAAAATACAAAGCTCCAGAATTCTTTTTTTGATTGAATGAAAGTCAATATTGACTTTTGAATATTATATACATACATAATACATAAATAATGTACTCAGATCGTAAAGCACTTCGATATTCTAGATACAAATATTATATTATTCGATGCTGTTTTTCGAACGTAGCTCTTAGCTGTTTTATAGGGTATACACAAGTTTTTAACTGCCTTTAGGCATAACAATGCAATAAATTGATAATGAATAATGGGAAATACCTACACTATTATATAATCCTGTATAGCTGAATTGCTTTAAATCGAAGTTCAACTTCTATTTTCAGAAATTGGACTACGTCCTAGATATCCAACAACTCTTTATGAAAACAATAGGAATTCATTTTGTTTAGAAATCAGAATTTATAGAAATTGCAGTTTATTGTAGATAGCTTAGAATACTAACTCTTGGTCAAGTTTAAGAGAAGCTCAGCATTTTTTTATTCCAGTTTAAAGACTCTTAAAATTTCAATGTAATAGCATAAACTAAAACTTCAACCGATTTATAATCTGTAATAGCTAGGGAAAGTGTGAACGAATATACCTCTCTTGGCACAAGTAAACAGCGTACTTTCGTTCAGAGCAAAGATCTATACAAATTATTGGCTCGTATTCGCTTCGCTTCGCTTTGCGTCAGCTCT